CGCGGCCCCCGCCACCACAGGCGGGTGGAAGTGTGCGGCGGCGTGGCGGCAGGAGCGCAGGGCGGCGGCGAGGGCCTGCGCGTCCTGGGGGCGGTGCGCGGGCGGCAGGGTGGCGGCGTGGGCGTCAAAGGCCGCCAGCAGGGCGCGGGTGGAGGGCGCCGCCACCAGCTGGCCGCCCATGCGGGCGATGGCGGAGGCGGTGTTGGCCATGGCCTGCGGGGAGGGCGGGTGGAAAGCAGGCGGGTGGAAAGTAGGCGGGTGGGCGCCAGGCAAGGCGGGGCAAAAACAGCCGCCGGCCCAAGCAGCCTGGCGCAGCCCGGCCAGTGCCCCAGCAGCACGCCGGCTGGGAGGCGGCGCCCCGCTGCATGAGCCGGCGGCGCCTGCATGCAAGCCCACTGAATGCGCGCATGCCTGCTGCATGCCAGCTGTCCGGCGCGCCTGCATGCTGAAGTGCGCTGCACGGCGCAGGCTCTCGGCCACCAGGATGTGCGCCAGCGGCGCCGCCGCCAGGTGCAGCGCGGGGCCCATGTTGGCGCAGCCCACAGCGGAGCAGCTCAGGCCCTGCGCAGGGCGAGGAGGAGGCGGTGGTACCGTCGTTGGCATGGGAGTGGCGGGTGGGTGGATGGGCGTGCGTGTGCACACGCACGGAGAGGGGGTGGTGGTGGAGGAGGGCCCGTGCCAGCAGGGGCTTGCCGGTGCCGGGTGGCGATCGACTCTCGAGCTGCCGCTCCAGAAGCATGCAGCCACCTCCCAAAGCAAGCAGCCGCCTCCCAAGCAGACCCTGCTGCCATCACCTGTACAGAAAAGGCGTGGGCGCTGCGGGCCACCGCGGCGGTCAGCGGGCCCAGCACATCGGGGCAGATGGTGAAGGCGTCTCCGTGGCGGCGCCGCAGCTGGCCAAAGGCCCTGCATGCGAGAGAAGCAGCGGTGGTGGCAGCAGGATCAGGGAGCGTTGCGTGGGGCAGGGCACGGGCAGCAAAGCAGCGGCGCTGCAGGCCTGCCCCCGTCCGCGCGGCGGCCGCCGGCCCAGCACCAGCGCCTTGCCCACAGCGGCGACGGCCAGCCCGGGGCGGCCCTGGCGGCGCGCTGGTTCTGTCGGTGCTAGAACTGCCAGTGATGGTTCTGCATGCACTGGTACTGCCAGTACTGGTACTGCTGCTCACCACAGCATGTTGGCGATGCCCTGGGGGTCGAAGCAGGCGGCCGCCGCCAGCTCGCGGGTGCGCTCCCACAACAGCCAGGCGGCGGGCGGGGAGGGCAGATAGCTGTCGCCGGCGGTGGCCAGCCGGCCCCAGCTGTACCTGCGGGGGTGGGGGGCGCGGGGAGGGGGGCAGCAGCGGGGAGGGGCGTCAGCGCGGCAGGCAACAGAGCACAGCAGGGCGGCTTCAGCGTGGCTCGTGGCAGGGCAGGGCCCTACGCCTGTCGCCTGTGAGCCAGGCGTGGCCCGAGGGCACCTGATGTGCCGAGGCCCAGGGCAGGGCCAGGCGCCGGCCAGGCCGGGGCCCGCCACTCCCTGCCGCCGTGCGCTGGAAGAACTGCTTGGGCTGCCATGGGTTGCTATGGGCTGCATGGGCTGCCCCCAAGATGCGGCCCGCCGCCGCCGCCGCCCGCTCACCAGACCGAGGAGACGGCCTGAGAGTTGGGCTTCTCATCGGCGGCGGCGGCGCCCAGGCAGGCCAACAGCGCGTGCTCCAGCGCCCCCACCAGCTGCGGCGGGGCGGGGTGCTCGGAGTACAGCTTGGCCACGGCCCACCTGCGGCGGGTTTTGGGGTGGGCAGGTGGCAGGGGGTATGGAGCAGGAGTGGGGTGGCAGGGGGGTGGGTGAGTGGGTGGGCAGGCGCAGCGCGGGCTGGCAGGCGGGTGAAGGCAGCACGGCGCTGATGGCCGTGAGGGCGCCCAGCCCAGCCCAGCCCACCAGGCGTTGGCGGTGCTCTGCGGGTTGAAGGCGCCGCCGTGGCACTGCTCCACCATCATCCCTGCGGTACAGCAGCGGTACACGTGGTGCTGCTCAGTGCGGTACTGGGGTGCGGTGGTGCAGGCAGATGGGTGCAAGGCGGCCGCTGCCGAGGGCGAAACCCTTCAGCCCCAGCGGTCAATGCACGCGGTGGTACCGGCGGGCGCGTGGCGAGCCTGGGGCGCGACGGCTGCCGCTGCCAGCTGGCGCCAGCGCCGCACCTGACAGCGCCTGGAAGACGGGAGAGGCCAGCGCCGCCTCTCGCGCGCCCTGCCCCCTGCGCCCGCAGCTTCCCGCGTACTGCTCGTCGCTGCCGGAGAGCAGCTGCAGGCAGGGGGGGGCCGCCAGGTGCGCTGCTTGTGTCATTGGCCGAGCATATAGGAGCGCTCCTTGCCAAGGCTGTCAGTCAGCCAAGGCTTACTCAGGACTGGCCAGGCCAGGCTTGCAGGCAGCGCTCAGCACCCAGCCGCCCGCCGCCCGCAGCCCACCTTTGCCAGCCGCTGCAGCGCCGCGGTGACGTTGATGCTGTCCAGGGATCCCCTGCCGCAGCTCTCCACCACCAAGTCGAAGACCTGCTGCGAGGTCTGGGTGTGCATGAGGCGCCAGTTGAGCTGCTTGGCGGCCTCGCGCTTGCTGGGGGTGCCCGCCGGCGGCGACTCTACAGATGACTGGCGGGAGAGGGAGGTGCTAGACAGGCTGCAGCCGGAGGAGCCGGTGTCGAGGCTGCTGGGCGCCTGCAGGAAAGGGGCGACAGAGCAGAGGTTGCAGAGGTTGCGCCGGCGCCGAACGGCGGCGGCATGGCTGGCGGCGGCGGCGCGGCCGGCGCCTGCTTGTGCGCGGAGCTCACCGCGTCCATCTCCCAGGCTTCCTCCGGCGCGGCCAGCGCTGGGGGCAGGGGTGCAGGCGCGGGCTGGGCACACCGCGCCATCGTCAAACGAAACGGGCTGGTGGGCGCTCCCAAGGGCGGCGACTGCGGACCGGCAATTCAACGGCGACCGGGCCAATCGGGGGCTGCAGACAGCGGCCACCGCCGGTTGTGCGCGGCTTCGGCCGTCCAAGAAGAGAGCTCTGCCTCGCTCCACAAGCCGAGCGTGGTGCAATTGAGAGCTTGAATGGACGCAGTAGACAGCGGCTGGCAATGCAGCCAATCGAAATGAAGAGAGAGGAGCAAGGAGCGGCGCTGACGAGTCCGCCAAGGCGGCGACGCGTTGGCGATTTTGTCGAGCTGCCAACACCGCAGAAGAGTGTATACGACCGGCGACGTCCACTCTTGCAGAGGCATCAGGGAGGATACATAGCTGAGAAGGACGCCGGCACCTATAGTGTGCAACCCCGCCAACGCCAACGCAACCGCAACCGCATCGCCATCGCAACCACCGCCCGCAGCCAGCCCTCAATTGCAGGCCGGCCAGAAGCCCCCTAGTGATGTCCATATCAGGCATCTCCTCTGTAAATTGGAGCCAGTGGCATCTTTGTAGGCTTTCTGATGGCAAGCTGCAGGCGCGCCATGTCGTTGCCATGCATGTTGCCGCCACTGGGCATGACCGCTGTTGGGATGGCAGAAGAAGACCTACTGCTGCCTGGTATCATCCAGGTTCCGTCCATTCTCGTTCGCGGCCCATTTGGATTCAGACATGGTGGAGCAGCCGGACAGACGGCAACAGACACAGCCGCGTTTTGGGTCTCCGCGGTTTGCGGCGATAATCTGCGCTCCGCTCATCTCAATTGGGGACAGGGCGTGCGACTGGCAGCAATTCAAGGCGTGCAACGAGGCCTAGGGAGGGGGGACCCTCCTTCCGACCCCTGGGTGCTGTACAGCACTACAGATGGACAGAAGCCCCATTGCAGCCCCTCCGGCCATCCCGACGGAGTCATGCCGAGCACCGGGTGCAGCTGATGGCCGCAGTAATCTGCAGCGGCTGGGCAAACGCCGCTTGGCGCCAGCGGGCCCAGCTCTGCTCGGTCTGGCTGCTGGCGCTGGTTGGGGCATCGTATCTAACGGCTCCCGTGGCCGCACAGGTTGTGGGGTCGACCGCCGGGTGAGTGCGGGTGGTGCAGAGGCCCTGCCCCCTCTGCTCCCGAGTGGGCACACAAGGGCGGTTCGATTGTGGGCAGCAGGCGGACGATTCAATGCGCGACGGCATTGATTCAAGCAGCCTAGGCTGCCGGGCGAGGTGGAGTGGGCGCGACTGAGCGGCGGCGCCAGCCGCTGCCAAGCGCCAACGGTACCCCGCACCCCCAGCCGGCGGTTGGCAACTGCCTGTCAGCCCCTGCCCGGCAGCGGCACCTCCCTTGCGCCTGGCCGCCACCCGCCACGCTGCAGCCACCTTTCCGCGGCATCTCGCCGGCACGCCGGCCCTCCCGCCCGTGCCGCCGATGGTTCCCTGCTGCCTTCTGCCGGCCCTCCCTGCCTGCCCGCAGGGCCTGCGCTTCGGCGGGCACCGCGGTTCTGGTCCTCTCCAACGCCACCTCCACCGCAGACCCTTACGCTATCTGCTTCCACACATTCACCCTCACAGTCGACCCCGCCACCTGCGCCCTGCTGCTGTCGCCAGACGCATCGGCGGCAGGCCTGCAGGTCCAGGGCCGGGTGAGGGAGCAGTGCTACCGCCGCCGGCCCTTGCAGGGTGCCACCCCGGCGCACGCAGCGCAGGCGGCGCTGCTGCTGGCGCCGCCTGCGCTACCGATGCCGGAGCTGGGAACTGCCTGGCGTGGAGGCACTTCAGCCGCGGCAGTAGGGCCCGCTGCGCTCTCGCCGCAGCAGGCCCCGCCCTCGTCCCTGCTCTCATGGCAGGCCATCTTGTGCATGCCGCCTGACCCCGCATCGCACGCACCCGCCCTTGCCCGCCCGCAGGCCTGCCCCGCCGCGGACCTCAGCGGCGGCGTGGTGGCGGGGGACGATGTTGGCGCCGCCATCCGGCGGGCCATGCAGCGCGCCGCGCTGGCGGCCGGCGCCATCCAGGGCGTCACACTAGAGCCTGGCTTTGCAGGCATCTCGGTTGCCACGCCTGGGCCCAACACCAACACCTACACGCTCACACAGGTGGGCACCAGGGGCGGTTGCCAGGGGTGGGGCCTGGAAGGGTGGGGAGGCGAGGCGGCGCCGACTGGGGTGCAGGCGGGCGATACAACAACCCTCCACGTGGGCCGCCGCTCCCCGCTCTGCCCTGTGTCCCCCGGCGGTGCAGGGTTCTCTGGGCTCCGTGTTCCCCACCAGTACCGCAAGTACCGCCCCCTGCCCCGCCGGCGGCGCCCCCGGCTGCGCCCCCGCCGGCGCCGGCGCCGGCGCCTCCTGCCCGGCCGGGCGCTACCTCGCCGGCGGCGGCGCGGTGTGCACGCTGTGCCCCGCGGGCCATGCCTGCGGCGGCGGCGCCGGCGCCGCGGCGGCGGCCTGCGACGCAGGCACCTACGCGGAAGCCGTGGGGCAGCCGGCCTGCTCTTCCTGCCCCGTACAGACCTACCAGGCAGAAGCTGGCCGTACCGCCTGCCACCCCTGCCCAGACGCCTCCTATGCCCACTTCACTGCCTCCACCGGCTGCCTGGCCTGCTACCTGGGCCAGCCGCGGGTGGTGGCGGGCAGGGTGGGCGGCGAGGAGGGGGCGTGGCAGGAGGGCGCGGCCGTGGAGGCGCCCCCAGAGCTGCCAGGCAAGCGCGGCGCTGCTGCGGCGGCCCTGCAGCAGCCGCCAACGTGGGTTGCCCGTAGCTGCTAGCTGCGCACGCTGGCACAGTTGCCACACAGAGTGTGAAGAGGCATAGACCATCCCAGCCGGCACACCCACGGCCGGCCTGGGCATAGCCCATCCCAACCCAGCGGCGCAACCCACGGCATGGCCCACCCTCCTGCAGGCTACCGCGTCGCCACGCTGGCGGGCGGCGCCCTGGGCGCTGGCGCCTGCCCCGACGTGGACCACCCGTTCAAATCTTGCGCGGCGCTCGAAGGCCGCGCGGTGGCGGTGGAGACGGCGCCCTCCTGCCTGGTGCGGCTGTACGTGCTGGGGGATGCGGGCTGCTCCCAGGCAGACGAGCTGTCGTACGTCGAGGGGTGAGAGGCGCACGGCCAGGGGCGGGGGGCGGAGCACGCAGCAGCGCCGCACGGGGCTGTCCCCTCGGCAGCCGCCTCTCACACCCAGCCACCTCTTACGAGCCCGC